GCTTTTTTTAAGCCTTTGTTACCCTCGTGGTAGTTAAGAAATTCTCACCTCTCTCATAAAGGCCACGTGGGTGATAGTTGCAGGCAGAAACTGCTTTAGATTTTCTTATTGTAGCATCTCTGTGCCACCATTCTCATGCATACAAACTTCAGCTGTTTTGAACACAGCCCCGCACTGGTTCAAGGCAGGTAACAGCCAGGGAGTTCCCGAGGAACTGGTGTTTCATTGGTGAGTATTATTTGAACTCTGTTCAGATAAGTTGTAACTGTATTCTTCTGGGTTATCTGGTCAGCAGAGATATTGTGTTACAGCACTGGTATCAGATCTGTTTTCGAGATGCACAAAAATGGATGTAGTCTCTGAACCAAGTAGTGAGGAAGCTGTTGTGCAGTGTTTTATTAAGGGAGGGGGGATGCGGTTGTGAAGCATTCGGCTGAGAAAGGGCTGTACAGCCCAGCTCCCAAAGGAGGCACCACAAAAAGCATCCTGTAACTTGGTGTGCCTGCAGTTCAGTTCTCTCACACAGAATTGTGAGCTCTGCAGGGGACAAAATTAATAAAGAAGCTCTGAACTAAATGAAAGATGGAGCCATTCACCTGCATATGTACGTTGGTTCAACTTCCCTTTTAACTACATACTTTTTTGAGTAAGGATAAATACACGTAGACAACTGCAAGCCTAGGATGCAATATGTTTGTCTGTGTGTATGTATAGGTGTAGTCACGCACACGTGCCGCTACAGTAATTGAACCAAATGCTTTGTGATAGAAGTGTCAGAGGCGCAGTAAATCTTAAGGCTGTACTTTCTGGATCAATTCACACCTTGAGTACGTTGTTCTGCAGGAAAATACCGACTGGATCTGCTTGAACGTCATACAGCAGTCTTACCGCTTTATTCAGCACATTTAAATGATTACAATTTTCACTTTTCCTTTTTGTCTGTGAAAGACAGAAATTTCTATCATAAATGGGTTAATTTCTAGAAATGTAACACCTGAAATAGGAGCTGAACTGGAGATAGAAAAAAAAAAGCTAATAGGAAAACCTTATTTCTGCATTTTTCTCACTGAGGAGTTTAGAATGTAAACCCAAATCTGCAGGAACATGAAGTAAGCTGGATGAGTGTGTGCATAATGTTTACACCTTAACCATTACGCACAACTAAATCTATCGATTGGAGATTGAGTAATTGGATAGGACTAACTGACTGGTCAATAGGAATGAGACTGCTCTAGGAAAGAAACTTAGGTGGTAAGAGAAGGCTTCAGCTGCAGAAGGGTGACATTAGGATTATATTGTCTCAATTGCAATAGTACAGTAAACAATATATGAATTAATTGCAATAATCACAACAAACACCTTTTTTAATTAGCAATTCTGATGTATTGTACTAAAAATCAGAGCTTTGATGTTCAGTTGGATGGAGCTGTAGGACTTGGGAGAAGAGCAATTGGTGGTGAATTCCCCCTTTCTATAGGAGCTGCAGACCTGTCTGGGAGCTGTATGGCCATGCAGACATTTAAGTCGTCTCTTCATATTCATGGTGGGGAAAAGCACAAGATGTGCTTAACCCCTTCTTGTACTTGGTTTATAGACATATTTCTTCATCTGAGAAATCCTTTGACATGGAGCCTGAATGTGCCTCTATGCAAAGCTTAATATGTTAAGGGGACAGTCAGCTGATACATTACTTCATAAGAAGCTGTGTTTACAGAAGGAAAAATTAGATATTTCCACTGGGATAGGTTTCAGTTGCCTTCGGTACCAAAGCCCCTACCTGCATTAGATTGGAGGTGTCTAGAGATACAAGTAGCTAGCACCTTATGGAGGGATATTTTGTTTACTGTTGAGCAGGTGAACTCAGCCTTTGTCACCAGTTCCTTCTAGCTATTTCAGAAATGATAATTTCCCATGGTGAAAGCTCTGACTTACCAGCACAGTAAGGTTATTCTGAGTTAGTTGAAGACATTTTCATTATTCTCATTTGTCTGCTGCAGTTCAGGATTAATTCTGCAGCAAATTCTTGCTTCCCAGGTCAGTGAAATGTTAGAACATAAAGGATCTCATCCTGATCCTGGAGAGAACAGCCGTGCACTTCTACGTTACACTGAGTTTTCTTAACGTCTGTGGATAACAAAAAGTTATACACATGGATGCCCGTGTGGAAAGTTCATGATGGACACGCAGATTAGATTTTTGATTCTCAGTACTTGATGTAGATGCCCTCCTGCTTGTCAATGGCTATTGTAACTAAACTGTCTGTAACTTAGCATTCCTTTAAAAAGTGGAACGCCTTTAATCTGTTGTTTTAAAAAGCATACATTAGATGTCAGACAACATAAAGACAGCGCAAAAAGATAACCCTGATGTAAGTGATGGTTGCAGTCATCTAGTGTATGGATAAAAGATTTCTGAAGCTATGCTACGTGGCAGTTCAACATGATCCGGCTGTTTGTTAATCAGAGAACCTAAGAAGAACAAAGGAGAGAGAACAAAAACGTGAAAAAAATTGTTGTATAGCTAGAAGATGTACGGTGGGGTGACTCATAGGGTGGTGGGATTGGATAAAGCAGTCATGAAAACGATGAGCCATAGGAGGGCAAAATTTTTCACTTTGTTGCATGTGACGTGAGTTTGTTGGGAAAGGGGATAACATTTTGTATTCAGTCAGAGAGCATGTTCTGTAAATCTCTTCAGTTACCTGTTCCCTGGGTGTCGCAACAGATTAAGTCGCTGTGTGATGATATGACACCGCCATCACTCGTCTTCCTGGGATATTGCTGGAGGCAACAACAAACCTGTGTCTTTGGCACATGTGAAGGAATTTAGTGCTTGAGGGGTTAAATTACACAGGGTCCCCTGTGGATCAGCTTATGCTTGGACAGTAATAATAGCACTAACATTAATAATAAAAATGCCAGAGAGAAGGGAGTGGAGGGAGAGTAGGGAGAGAAAAAGAAAGAAAGAAGAGTGATGGAAGATGGGCTGGGACAGTCAGGTGGAAAAAAAAGGCAAGCTGGAGATAATGCATTGTGTACAGCAGGTGTGCAGGCTCCAAGTTAGATGTCATAGGAGCCTCCTCTGGATGCACAGGCACAAATATACAGCGCAGAAGGTTTGAGAATGGTTGGTGGCTCTGTGTATGTGTGCTCTCGCTTCAAGCTGTGATATCCTGGGGCCGGTGTAACAAGCAATTCATGTCAGCTCTCAGTAAAGACTATTGGGTTTTCACTGGGGAAATATTTACACTCTTTTCTGTGTTCAGCACCTTGAGCTTTCAGTCAGGTGGGAGGCTGATGGGGAAGTGGGAAAAGACCCACTGAGGGACACATCTCATCCCCCAGTTAGATGGAGTTAAACTCCTAATCTTGCTTAGGAATAGCTGCTGGTGCTGTTTTCCTCTTTCCCTTCTGGATTTATGGGATATTACATTTCACTGCAGTACAGGCGATAGGATGAGATGCCAATTGGAGTGTTTTGGTTCTTACAGAAAGGAAAAGTACTTCAAGAGAGATATTTTTACATAGGTGAGGCCTTCTCACCTATGAGAAGAATGTGGATTTATTTTATTTCTCAACAGATAAGCCATCGCAGGAAGAGATGACAGGTTATCACATTGAAAAATAAGAGATCTGAATTTGTCCTCTTTCAGATTTGTTATTTATCATAATAATCCTGCTAGTGAAAAGGACTAATTTACTCTTTCTATAGGAATATTTTAAGTATGATTATCATAATATCACAGCTGCTGAAAAGGTCTAAAATAGGACATTGACCTTGAACGCGTTCCTGTGCTTAGTATGTGGTGCTTAACATTCAAGAAACAATATAACTGCAACTCATTTATTAATGTATAATCTCAAAATGTTAACTCCTGCTCTGTAAATACATGCTATAAGGATTGTAGAGAGCTCGCAGTATCCCATGAAGTACATGTGGTATTTTATCAGTGTAAATATGTATAAGATTTTCAAGATTTCTGCTGGGAATAATCCATAACTAAAGTAAGTTTTCCCTTTGGTACTGCACTAGTTTATGATTTAATTTTTACTGACATTCCACCAGTCATATTATTAGCTCCACAAAATGAAAGTGAAATAATCCTGTATTAATTAAACAGAGCAACTGAATTCCCTCAGTCATCTTATCCTTGGCTGTCTGAGACAGTAATGCACTTCAGCTTCTCTGAAGAAACTTACACTAAAAAAACAGCTTGGGGTAATAGTGAGATATCCATATTGAAGTGTGTACCTGAATTATCTTTAGGGAGTCATTGTTTTTTGGTAGGTGACAAGCATGTGCAGCTTCCTTTTTCTATTTTTTTCCCCTTTCGTTTTGTCAGAGGCTTTGGAAAAGATGCTTCATCAAGAGAATAATTTTCATTTACAGCGGTGTGAACTGTTTTCTATTCTGTTTCTATTCCGTACCAGTGAAGGCAGTCATTTAAATACCCATGCCCTTGAAAATCAAATGAGGAGAAAATACTGAGATCTTTTTTTTTTTGAGACTAGAGGAACCAAAAGCAGTTTAGTAACATAGAAAGGCAATTGCTGTGTTACTTCACACAGACTCTGGAATAGAGAGAGCAAAATCTACATGCCTTGCTCTGTATATTTGTGAATGAACTGCAGAAAAGTTTTAAAGAGCACTCTGGGATAGTGTTACTTGTGCTTTTTCTACCTAAGATCAAAACAAGGAGTAATTAATTAGTCCTAAATACAGACTGAAGGAGGTAGCTTTAAAGGAATAGCCGGCTGTAGTTTGTCCAACCACATACAAACAGGTGAGCGGGATTTTGAACTTCTGTAGCATTAGGTTTTTTTCATTTGTGAGCAGCACACCCAGGGATGCACCAAGCGCCTTCCAGCCATAAGCACACAAGGCCAAAGTGTCGTAAGACCAGTGGACAGTGACAATATTGTTCTGCCGTTGCTCCAGAGCACAGAACATTGGAGTTGTATTTCTTTACTTAGGATTTCGAATAAAGAGAGAACCACATATTTGATGATTACTCAATATTTATTTCAAACTTATTGATATTCTCCAGCTATGCTTTGAACAAGGTAGCATAATGTATGGCAAAATTTTGCAGAATCACAGAATTGTAGGGTAAAAAGGGATCTCTGGAGATCAGAGTCCAATTCCCAACATGTTATGCTAAGTAAATGATGTACTTGTTTTCAAATTAATTCTCTGCAGCTAATAAAATGTGTTTTACATTCTTGCTCCCTGCCAGTTGACTTGAGCTTTGCCTTTTGCTAAATACACATTTGACACAACTCACTGTGCAGTTTCTGTGATGTGCCACTGAATTATACTTCTTCAGTTGCCTTGAGCTAGTTGTGTTGTAAGAATGTGGCTAGAAATGTCTGTAGTGTATAAATGTGAAGATACTTAAACATAGAATATATGTAAGACAAATTACATAGGCACACAGAGATGGAAACACAGATGCTGATCAGTAATGCTCCTTGACTGGTGCACACATCCAGGATGTTTTTTTTCCTTCCCCTCTCTGATTCCATTACCACTGTTTTGTATAGACTCTTTGTGGTAAGATTTTACACTGTTCATTTTGATAAGTTAGTGCAGATGGACATTTCCATGCATGCTCTTATTCTACATCCCCTGATAAAATTTAATTAAATTGTAGGAGCTTCCCCCCCCCCCCTCTTTTTTTCCTAGAGCTATTTTATTTGTTTCTACAGAAAACCTTGGGAAAGTGAAGCTATGCTTACACCCAGCTTATTTGCCTGCAGTAATATTTCTTATCTTCTTTTTCTAAACTGATGGATAACTGAAATCCAAGTTCAAGAACACAGTTGGAATTCCAGGCCCTGGTCTGGAAGAGGTGGCATTTTCAGTCCCAGGGAAGAAGCCAACTGCTTTGTTTATCAGCGTGCAAACTACAGCACTGTATTTCTGGTTGCCTGAGCAGCAGCACTGGCAGGGAGGAGAGATACTTGCTTGGATGAGAGATGGGTGAGAGAAACATAGCGATGGCAAATGGAGAGAGAGGAAAAACGTATCTGATGGTGTATGGTATGGGTGGAACAAGTCAACGAGGTGGCAGAACCTATGGGAATACTATGGGAAAAGAGGGTTTCCATGGCAGAAGTAAAGAGACATCATGTTTCAGCACCTGAATACAAAAGCACTGTCTTAAGAAATAATGAACAAAAGTAGAAATTAAAGCTGACCTGTGCTTTGATACATTTCTAAATGGATCAGTTGTCTTATGAAGGAGGATATATTCTAGAGAACTTAATACGTAGAAGCGGCTTGATGAAATAACCTATCTATACAGACTGGGTATAGGTCACTTAAAGTAAGAAAACAGATATGCATGAAATGATTTGGAAGTATTTTAGTATAAAATTGAAAAATAGCATTTTTGAATATGAATCTATAAATGGACAATACAATTCTATTTTCATAGTTTGCCAAAGGGCACATGAAAATCAATTTATAGGAACTGTATTTTGGTTTGTATACTACAGAGGTGCCGATACATAGAATAAACATGTCTTATTTCAGTTTTGATTTGATTCCAAAACCCACATTTATCCAATTGTTCCTCAGAGAGCATCCTAATACTGTGACATGATTAAATGCCTCATTCTAAAATTTAATAAAAACTGATTTTCATTTTTATTTATTTATTTAAGGCTGATGTTTCTACAGCGTGGTTGGATTTTCCTCTACATTTCAGAGCTCTGTAATTCACGTGCTCACACGTGAATTTACATCTTAATTATAGAGTTCACATTTAACAATATAGACAGCATAATGCTACTGGTAATTAAGCTTTTACTACCTGCTTTTATACGGTAGTCAGAGCTGCAGTTCTGTTATGCAGGCTCCAATTCCAAAGCTCGCATGCATTTATACCACAGGCCCAGCCTTTACATAAGGTTAGGCACAGAATGCCGGCATCTCTCTGCTGTGAGCACACACAAACACATCTGTTGAACTTACGTATTTCAGACTTGGCTTCTGCAGCCACGTTCATTTGGTGAAATGCTGTGCGAGGGCATTTTTGTTCCCATTGGTGAATGGAATTAACGCTTTCTGAGGGTCTGCACCGGTATGTTTTGATCTCAAAGATTGCCGTTTGCATCACGTAGGGCTGCAGTCGTAAATGAAAGATTTTCCTAAGCGGTTGAGCTGAGAAAGGAAAAATAACATTTATCTGTACGTTTCCAAGTTCAGCACGGTTATTTGCTCGGAGCAGGTTGGGCGAGGGCCCCTTCCTTACTGCCGAGGCAGGCTGGCTCCCAGCAGCACTTCGCAGCGGCGGGGCTGGGCGCTCTGCGGGCACGCAGCAGGGCTCTGCTCGCTGCCCTTCCCATCGGGCAGAACGGGCTAGACAGAAACCCAGCGCGTAGGGAACGCTTCCAAGGTTTGCGCGCACCGCGAGGTATAACGGTGCCGAACTGCTGCAGTGTGGTCCTTACCTTGTTAAAATGAAGCAGGCAGTCCCCTCGCCGCTCCCTGCGCAGCTGGGGAAGAAATTGATCGGTTCTGGAGCTCTTCTTTCTGTTAGCTAAAGCTAAATATTTACACGTCAGCACCTAAATATTTGCACGTGGGTGCACGTTAAACACGAGGCGTTGTGCTGAGCTGCAGGAGAACGCACGTACCTGTCTGCGCGCGCTGCCCGATGCGGCCGCGCAGGTCAGAAATGGAGCTGAGCGCCGGTTTTGCCAGGTAAACGCTCCCTTAACGCGTACGGAATGAGTTGCTTTCTCCACTTTCATAAACAAGTATATGGATTTAGATCAACAGATACGGAATATTAATACGCAGAGCCCGCTCCTGTCCTCCTCCCGGCCCCCAGCCGCTCAAAAAGTTGGGCTGTCCCCGTACCCGCTGCTTCCTCCCCCCACCCCCGGCTCCGTACCTCTCCGCCCAGGGGCCGCCGACATGTCTGCGGGCGCTGCCCCAGCGGCCGCCGCCTCAGGCCGCTCCCCCCGCCCCACCCCTCTACCTGCCGCGCGGCCCGCGCGCCGCCCCGCCGCCTCCCGATTGGCCGACGCCTCACCAATCCGCCGCGCCCCCGGCCCGGGGGGACCGCATATGTAAAGCGCCGCTTCATATTCATGAGCCCGGAGCGGGGCTTTAAGTCCTTGATTAGGCGCGCGGGCGAGCTTTTGGTCCCCGCTGGCCGCGCCTGCCGCCGCCGCGCCGCCCGCCGAGCCCTCGTGCCAAGCGCGCGGCGCCGGGCCACGGAAACTTTGCCTTCCCGCGGGCGCGCGCGCGCGCGAAGAATGGTCGCCGGGCGCACATGGATTCGGTAGAACTTTGCCTGCCGGAGCCGCTCTCCCTGCACTACGAGGAAGAGTAGGTACCGCTCCCCGCCCCCACCGCCTCCTCGCGGCGCCACGGCCGTCGCGGGGCGCCGCGCGGCGGTGGCCGCCCGCAGCCCGACAGGTGCGCGCAGGGCCGGCGGGAGGGAAGGAGTTGCGAGGAGCCGCTGCGCCCGGCCCGGCCGGACCCGCGCCTCGGGGCTGCTCGCGGCCGGCTGGGCAACTTGCCGGGTTAGCCGGGAGCGCACCGCGGGGGCTGTCAGCGGGGAGCTGCGCGTGGGGCCGAGGGGCAGAGCCGCCTCCCGTCGTAGCGCCGGAGGAGAGAGGGGGAGCGGGGCAGCCCTAGGCGCGCGGGGGAGCGGCGGAGGGTCCGCGCTCCGCGGGTGCTCCGGGGACAGCTTCGGTAACGTCACGGCGCGGTGCCCGCAGCTCTTATGAAGCCGGGCAGAGCTCTTCGGAATGAATGCACAAAAAGACCAAAAGGCTTTTTTTTTTTTTTTTTTTTCTTTTTTTCTTTTTCCTTTCTTTTTTCTTCTGCCTTTTTTTTTTTTTCTTTTTTTTTCTTGTAGAGCTTTTTTTCCCCACTCCAAAGGAGCTTTCTTGAATTTACCTTCTTACAGCTAATTTGAATGATTAGTTCAGATAAGCCTCTTAGAGGAGATGCATTGAAATGAAATCGGGGCACATGTCCTTTTGGCTCCGGTGCAAGATTCCAACTCGTTGGGTTGTTGTGCTTTTTTTTTTTTTTTTTTTTTTTTTGTGTGTTTTGTTTTGTTTTGCTTTTTTTTTTTTTCCTCCTCTTTGGCTCAATTAAAAGTCATCGGAACGGCCTCCCGGTGCCTCCCCGAGCGGTGGGCGCGGAGCAGCGCCGCTCACCGCGTTCCTCCTTCCGTCCCCACTAATAAGCCCTCAGCCCTGGAGTTTTGCACGTTATTCATATTCGTAGTGATTGTGAATTGACTTATATCGACTTCCATATCGTCACGTGCACTCGTGAGCGAGGGGCGTAAGGAAAATAAATACAGTAGTTCCTGCGGTTCTCTCGCATGGGTGAGGGCAAGAGAGGATTGGAGCTAAAAATTGCCAGAACGCTCTGGGAACGGGCAGACATCTGCCTGACCATCACTAGGTATGCTTTGATTTCAAGGCAGTGTGCTGAAGAATGCCGTAACTCCCAGCCAGCTGCAGCCCTGGCTTTCTGCTTTTTCAGCAATAACAATAACACTAATAATTACTAATAGTTAATAAGCTAACGGGCGCGATAAATGTATCTGCTCGTTTTGACATATGTGTCAGTTTAATCATTGTAAATGAATCTGTGCGTTCGGAACCCGAAATCTCCTTCACCCACTGATTAAAATGTAACGTTGACTGAAGGATTATAGAGCAGGCTTAATTTTACTGACTGTTTTAACAGTTGTCAGAGCTTCTGGGAGAGGGGAAGGCAATTGAAACACTTTAAAAAATGGTGTGTGGGGGGGAAGCATGGACGAGCTTAATAAATTTAGATGCCATCTCTGTATGCCAAACATAGGAAACGGAGGAGATTTGTAACTCCAGAGAGCTTCCATGCACTGTGTACATTGCCCTTTGTGGCTCACGGTGTGAGGTGGAACCTCAGCACTTCGCTGTGCGCCGGTGTTCAGACGTCAAACACACCCAGCTCATAGCGAGCAGAGATTTTTGTTTTGTCCAGCAGCAGGTAGAATGCACAGGCGAGAAGAAATGAAGGCTGTGCAGAGCAGACGTAGCACTTAAAAATACAAAAACAACAACAACAACAAAAATAACACAAGTGGAGGTAGGCGGCTTGTGTAGTAAATACCTGCATGTGATAGTGGTCTGTGTCTGTGTTTTGTGTGGGAACGGTCTGTGGAATGGCTGTGCGCACACTCATGGGTGTTAGCATGTAAATATTCATCTGTGTGTGTGTGTGTGTGCGACTGCGTGTGTGAAATGTAAGAGTTGATATCAGTTTGGCTGCTCTTTTGGGTACTTTGGCTTAGCTTCTCATTCCGAGACGATTTATCTGAGAGTACCTTTCATTTTAAAAAGGGAGCAAGGGTGAAGAAGTCTTATTACGAAGTGGGAAGCGGTGCTTGCTTCCACTCCACAGTCCCTCTGGGCAGTGCAGATCTTTAACCCGCTGCATTTCTCTCCGAGCGAGCAGATCAAGTTGCTATTAAGACATAAAGCCCTGAAGTTGGACGTGCTTGGGCCTTGGTGCACAGCACAGCCAGGCAGCTGGGTGCAGGCAGCCCAGTGTGGGCAAGCGAGCAGCTCCTGCCTGTGGGCAGCCAGCAGGCCCCGTGCCATTCTGCCACTTCTGGTTCCGGTTACAGCTCTTTGGCTTTTCGGTTTTGATAGACTGCCGGCAAGTTTTTAAATCCTGCGCAAAGTAGAAGGGGATTGTGCTGAAATGCCCGCCTGACAGCTTCGCGTTTGCTGGGGCTTGCCCCTCTTTTAGTGCTGGTTGCTCATTTCAGTGTGTTTATAGTTGTGCTCTTTTATTTACTGAGCCTGGTGCGTTGCAGCAGTAATTAACCCATGTTATTAGCAAAGCCCTTGTGGATATCCATTAATTCTCTTGAATAGCTGATCACTTTTTTCTGTACCTTTTTTTTTCCTTTTTTTTTTTTTTTTCCTCCTGAGGCACGCTGCTGTTTTCCTCACAGTCCTTAAGCTTCACCATCTCATACAAATTTCACTCTAGATAGAGGCCGGGTATGAGGCCACCATCCCCGTAGTTCTATAATACAGAATAACTGTTGTCTTAACAAACTGTTTCCAGAGACGCTAATGGGAAGCACAACAACTGGGAGAATCTGTAGGGAGCAATTTGTTTAATTATTACTTTTCAAAACACATACTTAATGCTAAGAAGAGAGATAAGAATTTTTCCAGCTTTAAAAAAAATATTATTATTTTGGAGCTGCCTTAACTGTTGCGAATATTTCAATGTTCCTATTTTAATCAGATTTCAACTTAGTTAATAGCACTTTGGGCATTTAGAAAATATTGAGCCAGCAGAAAAATACTTGTGCTTGCACTGCTGAGAAAAGATAAGGGCTGCCTCATTAGCCAACCCTACTTTTGCAATTAATTTCAAATACACAGTGCTATTCATCAAATACAGAAGGTAACTTGTCTATGATAATATTGAACAATACTTGAAACCTACTTTGGTTGGAGTAGCTGAAAAGTATGATATATCTGTACTCACAGATCTGTCAGTCCATACAGTTATTTCTGTATGTTACAGAGGGAAATTACGATATAAAAATGCAAAACAAAAGTCTGGATTATTCATAAGCAATGAAATTATTAATTTGTGGAATATCTCTAGAAGACTGACCCTTGACCTGCAGGGAGGTTACTTGCACCCCTTTGGAAGTGTGAGTTGGAATGAAGATACTTAATTGAACCTTCCAAGAAGTATCTCGATTATTTTTTGCTTAGCGTGAGTGAAGTGCATAGAATAAATAGGAAAAATGCTGGGAAGAACTCTTTCTCCCACTGAAGCTTAAAGTAACCTCTGCCTATAAGATAAGCTTTGCTCCGAATCCTTCTTCATAGCAAATTCATTCAGGGGAGAAACAATAGAATGTTGATCCATTACAAGTGCATATGGGCATCATGCTGCCAGGCTCTCTAGAGGAAATGTGTGATTATGCTGGGCCAGTTTGTTCAGTTTTTATCTCTTTTACATCCACTGGCCTTGTATTAAATTGTCATTGTCCTAAAGCACATGAGAGAGAAATGAATTGCGTTTCTCGACATGCTCTGACAGTGAAATATTTAGCCTCTCTGTCTCCAATCATACTCATATGTATGTTTGATAGCGCAGGGATGACACCAACAGTCTCTGCAGCTTTGACATTCCACTTATTACGTGTTCTTTCACATTTTATGTTCCTTCTTTTACTTTTAGGTTTGACTCAGGTAACTGTGTGCACACAGTCATGGCTGTAGAAGCATGTATAGCTGCATTTTTGTTACATGTATATTCACCTCTTATTTATGTGGAAATCCTCTGTCTGTGCACGGCGGATTTTAGTTCAAATACATGTATATCTATGCACCCAGGTAAAGAGCATATTCCTTAATGCAGTGTGTGCAATGTACATGTATTGTTGTGTTTATCCACACAGACACGTATCCAGTTAATATATGCAGAGCTATCTCAAGTTCCCTATGTATCTGCTTGTCAAAAATTGCTGCTTTTTTGTGGTATTTTTTTCTTGTTAATGAGAAGTGAGCCGGCCAGATAAAATAGCATTGCAGATAAAGAGTTTGCACCTGATTTTCTATCAGATTCTCCATGTAATCTAGTATTTCATGTATTTGTACTCACAGTTTTGCTATGAAATAAACTGTGTTTTCAGTTGGAAAAAAAAAAATCCTCTTTCAAGTAATGTATGTGACTGATATTTATTCACATTCCTATAACTTTTGGCTCGCTCTCCATCAGAGAACTGTTTTTTCAGCTCCATGTTTCCTTGGACACACGGTTATGTTTTCACCTCATGGATATGATCATTTTTTGGAGTGGTGGAAAAGCTTCCCGTGTGTGGTTGTTAATATGTATCGTATTGTCCTCAGACAAAAATGTAAAATACACTTTCAATTTTAATGATAGTTACTATTTAGTAAATCTTACATCTCCCTTTCCCTCCTTTTTTTTTTTTTTTTTTTTTTTTGTTACAATTTGCTTATCCAGAAATTAATTTTTTTTTAAATGTTAAAGAAAAATATTAAACTGAATTACATATTGCTATTTCAAATAGTAGTACTTCATTATTTTTAAAAGATTCTGCTTTGCCTTTGCACTTTGGAGT